TGGCCATAACCCTCCTCAGGAGCGTATCGGCATCAGTGGGCTCAGTGGTCTTCTCGCCGAGATTACAAGAGTCCAACCACCGAGTGAGATGCTCATCCAGAGAGACCAAGGATAGGAAGCAGGCGACAGGCATTCATCTCAATCAACGACTGCTTACCAAAGTCGGGTCTGCATCACTAAATACGACAACATTTCCCGACGGTTTTTCGTGATATTGCTTTTCACCAATCTTGCTGTTCTCTATGAGCCATAGCTTCACGCTGGAAAAATCCCATGAGGCCACTTCAGGTTCTATGTATGGCAACTACACACAAAACGCCAACCCATCGACTCCTCACAGAGCGGGTAAAGGACGATGAAGGGGCCCTCGCTCCAAGATGCCGCATCCCCTTCCTATGCCTCAATAATAAGAAAATTGAAAGCACATTCGCTTCCGCTGAGAAACTCAGCCCGAGTCACAGAGGAGGCATTTCACGCGCATTTTATTTTTTACCCACCCATAATCGTCGGAGGGATTTACCCCGGTATTGTACCGACGATATTTGTTGCCCTGTAGTCAAGTAAAATCAGCAGGGAGAGATGCGTTGATGTTAGTGGTCGTACTACTGCGCACTTCGAATCTCGCTCGCCCAAAAATAATCTGACGTTCTGGCTCGAGGGTCGGGAAAGGGCAGCAGCTTCCATGTAGATGCCAGAATTGTGGAGACCTACGTAATTCGGAGCTCACTTGACAGCTTGGACAATGCATGCCAACTTGACATGGACAACTCAGATACCCAAGAGTCGAGTAAGGATCGCATTAGTATAGATCAATGGTTAGCTCGTTGGTGGTCGGTTCATCATCATAGGTCCACACAACTTGAAAATATATTCTCACTGCGAGGGCTGGGTAGACACAGAGCAAGCAAGAAAGACATGAGGGAAAGAGTAACACCTTGCGGCATACGTAAAAAGTCGATGATGATGTCAATAACATCTAGGCGATTGGTTTCATCTGAAAAATGTCCGTACCCGGCGAAGAAAAAGAGACAAAGGGTATCAGGAAAGTCATAAACTTGTATGTTGCTCAATGGTGTTCCTTCGATAACATCCCATTGCTCGTGAAGGCCTCTGATATACTCCCTAGCCAGCCTTGCCGGGCACCCAGCATCCAAGGCCATGGTGATGTGTAGATGTTCTTGTGGCTGTAAGTCGTCGAGGAACGCAGGTGGGCCGCTAACTTCAACCTCTACGCACACAAGCCTCTCTGGAACCACCAATAGCCTCCTTAGTGTAACCGTAACCATTATAAATTATAGGGCTCACAATGGGGCCGGTATGCCACCTGAATCAACAAGAACAAAAGCACTTGGGTTTTTAAGATGGAGACTATCCTTCAACTTGAACCACCAGCGAACCTCTGGCATATCGGCCCCACATCCAATGCCATAAATGGGATGGAATAACCTGTTGTTTGGCATAACTGAGTGCATCAGATTTTGTGATAATCTTTTCCCCCCAAAAACTCCCCCGCCGTTGGAAGAGACCCAAACAGGTCGCACTCGTGGGGCGTAGCAACTCACTGAACGACTTCAGAGGGCTGTGAAGCTACAGGGCCTACCAAGAGTGGCTTCGGTAGCTAAACCGCCGATAGTGGTGCCGTAGCACAAACCAAGGGATAGCGCTGGCACCAACTATTATTAAATTTGAGCCACATTTATTCTGCAGCGTCTGAACCAGAATGAGGGCCTCGTCCATTTCGACACCCCCGCATCAAAACTCCCATGACCAAGTCTCATCAGTGTACTGCCTCAGCAAACCTCTCTACAATGAAGTCAGTAGAGCTAAATATTCGCCAAGCACAAGACAAGCGACGCCTAATAAGGGCTTGTTGTTCATCACAGTAGCCAACCTAAACACAACGCATAATCCGCACACAATACGTTGGGTAGAGACGGATATTCAGTTCGGTGAAAGACCAGTAGAAAGTACACACTAGAACCTAAGGTTCCGAAATAATAGAAATAAGCCTTCGTAAAATATCATCACAGAGTGAATCCAAACGAGCAGGCTCGATCTCTGCCGAACCCTCTACCATCCCCGCAAGGTGATCCGCCAGCTGCAGTTCTTCCTCTGAGAAGCTACTCCTTGACGTTCCCGAGCTGCTCCAATCCTCGACTAGCACTCTCATATCCACCACCGTGCCAGGCTCGATATTGGCACTCGTCTGACCTCGCTGATCAGC